AACAGAGTAAAACATAAATATCAGTAGTCGACGTCCTTGCTTTGAGAACTGTCAGTATCAACACGGAAATTACAAGTCTTTTCTTTTGATGAATTAATAGTTAGCAACGTGATAGCCTCAAATACCCAACAACAGCCTGTTTTTTTTTTCATCAATTATTATTATGTGTCTCCATATTAAGGGAATAGTAAGGGTATATTATAGTAATTTCTCGAAATCATGTGACAACATGTATTCACAAATCTCCACTTGGAATATTTTAGTAATCTGTATTCTTTCAAATATTCCTCTGAATTTTTTTCCGGAATTCCACTTCAGAAATCCACTTTTCCCAAAATATTGATAGAGGTCTTTCAAAGAAATTCCTATCCCTTACAGGTGTTAAATTGCTATTGTATGTTAATTAGGAATAGTATTATTGAAATTAGTGTGTATTCTTTGTATATTTTTAGCCCTGGGTATGACGATAAACTACATCCGGCAGCAAGGCCTCAGATCAGGAGACTGGAAGTTTTGAGGAGCGTGGAACCCCCTCTTAATTGCTTTTATTCACAGTTCTATATTAAACACAGCTATGGACAAATGGTGAGTACCCACACAAAGAAAATGCAAAACACTTGGAAAGTATAAAAATACATTTTTATAGTAAAATTACATTTATATAGTAAAAAAACCAGAAATACATTTTTATAAAAAAATTTCAAGCAATACATTTTTATGAAAAAAATCATAACTTACACAGTTTATCTTCGGACTATTGTCCTTATCTTTGTTGTTGATATCACAACGTTTCAGTCGTTGTGTCCTCCGGCCTTCCTCTGATATCGACCTCGGTAACCTACAAAGAATTCTGAATTATTATCTCCCGCACATTCTAAAAATATTTTCTGGATTTAAATAACCCACAAAAGGTGTAAAATCAAATAATCAATCTGTGACACTGTTTAGCTGTGGTGATTGGCTAACTAATTAACCATAGAAATTAAAAACAGGAAAAACTTAAGGCGAGAAAGAGCTATATCAAAAGATAGACTGATCGACGTAAAAAAAGATTTTAGTTTATTTACGAAGAAAGATACTTTTCACACGAAGACTGAAAATCCGTCGGAAAAAGCGAGATATGAGATACTGTCAAAAGGGATTAATGTCATGTTAAGGGAGTGGCGCACCAAGGGAAACAGAATTCAGAAAGAAAAACAAAGCCAACCGACACATGCGACCATAAAAATTTCGGCTTGAGACCACCACGGAGAATAGATATTAGTTATCTTTCAGAGATATCATTTAATTTTAATTCCTGGGTCCAATGAAGGGAGCCATCTGGTGTGTGTTAGAATTCTGGCATGAGGAAGAAAATCGTATTATTATTGCTTATTCAAACTATTGACGTCAAGCACAGCGTCGTCGAAGATGGGCATTTAGTGATAAGACGATTTTAAGGCATGAGAAAAATAAAGAATTCGATTCTCAGGTAAAATACGGACCTCCCAGCTAAAAGTTGACTTAGCAGAAGAAACCAGGTGTCGGGTTTTGACAGTGATTGATTAGTTGGTAGAGAGACCCGACTAAGTGAATTTTGGGCGTCCCCGATAGAAAGATGTGATAAGAATTATTTGGCAATCTGGGATTTGTAAATGTTTTGACCGAAGAAAAAAAAAAGAAAAAAAGGATTTTGTAAACAAAATTCTGGATAATAAGTTCATGAGGGCCAGTCTAGCCACACCCACACTGCCGAGAGATCATTGGTCAAGTGGTAGCATAGGTGTAGGCGGAGGTGAATGTATGAGAAAGACGGAGAAGTTGTTAACACCCACTGAGGGGATTGGTATGAGATACCAATGTGAGAGAGGAAGAGTCTAGGAGGATAACTCACCTCCGACTTCCCTCACGGACGAGGGAGAAACCCCCGGAATGGAAAGTGATTAATCTTCCAAAAATGGGAAGTAATTAATTTTCCTGGCCTAAGAACAAAGAGAATTCTTGCTGGGAATCGAGAATTATCTAGAACCCGAACCACGTCAGGCCCCCACACCGGGTTTTGGTTGGTATCCATATAAACGAACGTCTCGAGGCAGCTGCTCAGTTAGTTAGTTCCAGGAGTGCTGGCAGTTGATTTGCAGTTGCAGTCAGTCCGTTTCTTCGCAGAAGCTGACCGAGAAATTCCACGTCCTTCCGACTTAGCCTTCCTACTAAAAGCAAGTTATATTGACGAACGACTTAAGATACCAAAACTTGCTTAAGAAACGCAAGTGTCACGAATCCATAGAAACGGGCTGGGAGAGAAACAGACTCCTGTATTCAACAGACGGATAAAGATAATTTGTTATTTCTCAACATATTTGAACCTCTTGAGTTTGTTTTATTGCTTCTTTTACTTACGCTTGTGCGATATCACCTTTTCCCTGGATTCAGCTTGCACTACGGCCCGACGCCTGATTGATTTCGTCTACCTAAGATCAAAGTCACAACGTGGGTAGGTTAGACTTGAGATCAAAGTAGTTACTTCGGTAACTAGATGTTGGAAGTGAGCTGGGAACGACAAAGCTGGTATCGAACCGGGAACGACCAGATCGACTGGGACACAAAGAGTCAACCCTAAAACGCTGGCGGAAGAAACCTTACAGCTGGTAGAGAGGGCCGACAGCGCAGTGTCACATATTGGCGTCGCGACCAGAGGACGTCATATATTGGCGCTGTGACCGCGACCACCGGTGGGTGTCAAAATTAATCTTTTGGAACCCTTACAACGGGTTATGGGCGGCTAAAATTTTAAAATTTTCAAGTATTCTTTCTTTATTCTGTGTCTCCAAGATTTTAGCTCTTTCTTTCTAATTTCTAGAAGCAGTTTCATTGTATATCTGTCTATATTTCTGAGATGAGGTATTATAATTATTTACACTATTTACAATGTTTACTTTTATCCTTATCTTTGTTGCCATATTCACCACGTTTCAGCCGTTGTATGCCACGCCCTTCTTCCCGTGACTGGAATTTCGAACTGAACTCTTTATTTCGTCCTCATGGCCCAGTAGAAAAAAGAGTTCGTAATACAGTGACTTGACCCAGAGTTGTGAGAAGAGCTGAACAAAATCTTGGAGAGTTGAGTTAAAGAGAAATAACTGATGTTGAGATATCCGGAAGAGGCATGTCACGTGGAACTAGAACAATCTAGCCCGGTGGACGAAATAAAGGGTTCAGTTTGAAATTCCAGTTATCTGAAGAAGGCCGGAGCGTCCAACGGTGAAAACGTTGTGAATATGGCAATAAAGATGAAGATAATAGTACGAACATTATAAATAGTGTAAATAGTTTCTTTGTAGTTAATACTCCTCATACAATTCCTTCGTTTCTCAAATATTCCTCCTATCGGATTCGTTTGCCAGTTTGAAGATACCTCAGTAGGTTCGAGTCGCCTCTTGACTTGTGAAGAAATTTGTCTGACAGCCATTGCAAAAGAAAAAAATCGATATTCAATGGCACATTTTGTTTCTTAAGATATTTTATGATCTCTTATTAATATTCTCAATTTGAAAAATACATCATTCAACATTCCTTTACGCCTTTGTGTTTTGGATCACATTTCCTGTTGATTATGCAACACTATTAGGATAGTTAAATTTGGTTGATTTGTACGTCCCTGATACGTAAATCGCAACTTGGGTCGTCTCTTTTGCTGACAATCGTATATTCTATCGTTATAAAGGCAATGTAAACAAAAAAGACACTCCTAATTAACATTAGGATACAGTTGAAATTTATTGGGTGCATAATGAGGAAAGAAGGCTTGGAAAATTTGATACTCACAGGCCATATGGAAGGTAAGATGGTCATAGAAAAAACAACTCATAACTTATCTAATGAGCTTGAGTATGACAGAACAGGTTTTAGGTGAGATAAAAAAAAATTATAGAGCTAAAAAAGACAGGAAGTTGTGAAGGGCCATGATCACCAACGTTCTGACGGGAACGGAACATAAAAGAAGAAGATTATTCCTATATACAATTGTTATGCTTCTACAATCTAGCAATTCTTTTTTTCTTTACTTTTATCAAATCTGTTTTTTTTTTTTGTTTAAAAGTGGTGGTCTTCCTGGACACCAAAATTCAAAGGCAACGTGCTATTTTCATTTTATCGGACAGATTTTAGTGTTCTTTTGATCTCATTTTATTTACGGTCTCGAACCCAAGACATTTTAATATTTCCCAACAGTTCACTCTTCTTACTCTCATATTTATTTATGATTCTGATTATAAAGCGTTCTTTCTGTTGCCATTGTCTTCATATTTCTATGCTTCTTACTCGCTCTGTCTATAGAATCCTCAGCATCCTTCTATATAACCATATTTCTGCTGTTTCTAGTATCTTCTCCTGATCTGTGGGGAAATTGTCCAGAATTCACTGCCATATAACAGGACAGATATCACATCGTAACACTTCTACTTTGAAATAAAGGATATTATTTATCGGACCTTACTTTTGAATCTGTATAGAAAATATTCTGATTACATCAGAAGCATCTCGTGTTGGATCCAGCATAGATTGAACCACGATTTACACCATCACGTTAAAAGGGACAACGGATAAAATGAGAGAAACGACTCTTTTCTTGCATCTGTCTTCTAAACAACGATGTCCTTGAAAATGAGGATCGAACACATTGAGATAATACTTACTGGTTAACCACTGGTCCAAGAAGATGTATTTGAAAGATTTTCAAAGCTTTTTAATCTGGTACAAGATCACAAATTTTGTGAACCAGGTGATCAAACACACTATATGTATCATTTAAAGGAACGCAGCCGACAATTTTACCTGTGTCGTTGCACAGGAATCTTCTGTCATCATTTGATCATGATCGATTTATTGATCAAAACATTGTGAATTTGGAAAAACAATATTCCCATGTTATCCGAAATCCTTCAACCGATACAATATGGCTGACACGTGGGATTTTTTCTTTCAAGTAATCTCTTCTTTTTTTTCCAATCACGCGAGATTTCTCACGAGAAGTAAAAAAAAAAGAAGAAAATGAATGAATGAATCATGTGAGCTTGCTGAAATTCGGCTCTTGACTATAATAATAATAATAATAATAATAATAATAATAATAATAATAATAATGACAATAATAATAATGATAATAATAATAATAATAATCAAAGAATGAATAATAATGTGGAAAAAATTACAATAACAAACGAATGAAATATGAGAAGAAAAAAATGCTTAAAGCCTAATAAATAAAACATTAATAAAAAAAAGAGAAATAATAATAATAATAATAATAATAATAATAATAATAATAATAATAAATTAAAACTGCATAAATCCGAATGTGTTCCCGAAATTCAAAAGTATAAGACACTCTGAGGCAAAGACCACAAAAGAAAACAGGAAATGAAGACTTGATGATTGTTCAAGGTGGCCATTTCAACGAGCGACAGTGTGATGCCAAAAGAAAGCAACAACTTGCAAAATATCTGGGCCTTGTCCGAGAACAGAGAAGACTGGAAATAAAAGGCGAGAGATGTGCACAATACTAAACAACATTGCAAACATGGTAAGACTTAGATATTCAAATAAGAAAGATGGAATATTAACAAAAAAATCTCAAGTTTTATATTGATTTCGGTAAAATTTAACTTAAAGCCACACAAACTCTCCCACCAAAATTAAAAAGAAAAAAAATAATTGAAAAATCAGTTTGTGAAAAAGACGATTTTCTCTTGACACGCTTCTAGCCTTATACTCACTTTTTAATTTATTATTATTCTAAAAGCTATTTTTAGAATTTAAATAAAACTATACATGAAAGTTATCCAAAACAAAACTGCAGAAGTTTAATTTTCAAATAGTTATGTTTTATTACATAAAATAATTTATAATCTTGTAAATAAACAAATGGATAAATAAATAATGTTTAATCTTTTTCTTGTAAATTCTCTGACAAAAAAATTATAAATTCAGGTTCACATACTGTGTTTTCATTAAAATACAAAAAATCGCTTTTTAAAACAATAAAAATTGCCGAGGGAGTATAGAATAAGATCCATATTTAAAGAAAAACGTTTTTCTTTTTGACAGAACAGATTTTTGTATGGTCCGAAGTTAAATTTTGCCGTGATTCCTGTCTTATGGATACTTAGAGCTCTAAATTTTCTCCCCAAGATTGATTTGATAGGGTCCGCGAAAATCCTAAGAAAAATCCTGGAGATTAGAGAAAAACTACTCTCATTTAATTTTCTGTTATAACCATCGGCCAGGTGATGCTAACTGAAAATTTTCTTTTACAATAATATTCACCCTGTACAAGGCCAAAGAGTCACTCGAGCTAGAGGTTTACAGATTAAGAATTAAGGAGCATATTCTATGGGAATATGTGGGAAATATAACGGTTAAATCTAGACCTGAACAGCTCAAGATGGGCGCTGTCGTGAATGCATGCTCTTCCGAGTTGGTAGCATAAAGTAATGGTTCTTGGAAAAGGTTGTTTGAGTAGAAATCACATCTCCCCAATGGAATACGTTGGTTCGCTACAATGTGTGTGGCAGGGCGCGTATTATCCATGAAGGTTAGAACAGGTGGAAGTGAGGAATGTAATTCGTCTGAGCATTTTCCATAGAAATAGCGGTAGAGTAGGCTTGTGACATTTCATCTGGGAGAAAGGGTTTGCAGTTTGAAAAAATGAATCACCCACAAGGCTGTGGGAACGCTTATGGATTTTTATCGGGAAAGTGAATACTGGGCAACTCCTGTTTATATATGGCATCAGTACTCCATTTTTGATCAGATCTGTTTAACAGCCAATAGTCACGTGCTTACTAGAACAATACAGAGAACCGACCATTTCTCCAGCATCTTTTGCGATGGATCGTACGTATGAGTTACACTTGATGCCTGGGTTGACTACAGGCTCGCAATTCATGGGGCCTCCATCACAGAATAACCGCTCATCGCGATCGTCGAATATTCAGGGTCCGTTTGGTGATGATGGAACGACACTAGTTTAGTTTACGAGGAATCGAATACGACCAGCTAGCTTACACCCCCCGCCCTACTGAGCTGTGAGGGCTCAGTCAGAATATAGATCAGCTGCCAGGTCTCTGTTACTTTTTGGACATGCACTCATATACCGTTGTATCATCAGCATATATATATATTCACAAATGATCAGTGTATATTCTTAGGCAGATGATTTGTATAAAGTAGAGAAACGTTTGGACTAAGAAGCGAACCATTGGGACGCTTGCGTTGATCGCTTGGGCCTCAGCCGACTGATCGTTAAACACTTACCTTCCTACTCGTCAGTAAGGACTTGATAATTGAGAAGACAATTCCATTTTCTCTTGTAAAGATAGAACATGGCAAGTGGAATGCAATTTGTTCTTAGTTCTCATATATTTTACATTTCCATTAAAAGACAATGGAATACAATAAATTATTGGTATACTCGAACTACATAACATTGGTGTGAAGAGGTAATAAGTATGAACGTATATAAAAGTATCCAAATTAGTGCGAGAAAAACGTGTAGAAGAGTGTTGATTATGTAAATCATAAATGTTATGGTCTGGTTCCTTGTACCACGGTGATAGTCCAAGGTAGAACAAATAAAGAAGAACTCGAACACAGGTATGGAATAACACAGATATATTACAAACAGGGATATATACAGTGAAGTAGAAGTGTTAGTATGAACAAGCAGGTTCAGGAGAGAGAACAACGTAGTCTCGACCAGTATCACTATTCCAATGTCTGGCAGTAAATTGTCTGAACGCCACTCTGTTTCGGACTGCCTCTGACTCGACTCTTGACTCGACTTGAATTACTGATGATATTCAGTCACCCCACCACGAGGGCGTCATGTGGCACAAGTCCTTTTTAACGTGGGCTCGGCCAAAAATATGCCCATTGAACCCGTATAAACGGGTTCAGGGTCGGTTTACATCTCCGAAAGAGAATCCGCCCTTCGGAGTAGCCTCCTTCGGGTTCCTCCCCACCCGAAGGCAGAGAGTTCAACCGAACTACTGATTCTCGCCTACTGACTGAGGCGCAGTATTTACTAAGTATGGAATAGTCCATTATTATTATTATGGGTAAGATCCCATAACAATAAACAATAATATTCGGGAAGATTTAGTATTATCAACTCAGCCGAATGCAGATCTTGAAACAACCTGTTTTGCTCGCTTCGCACTATTACCGTTGGGAAAAGGATGAACATATTTTCTTCCGGCTAATGTTTAAGTAGGAAGGCAAACTTTGGGCGGAAAACGAAATTGCAAAGCCCGTAAATAACAGAATAACCTGAAGAGCGATGGGCTCCGTCAGGCATTCTTGCAATAGACAGAGATACTGCTGCTTCGGCTGCAGAAGGTGTGGTACCACAACGATCTGAATGTCTTAAGAGACTCCTGATTGTAATCGTAAAAGAAGGAAAAGTGGTTCAGAAGTGGATGCAGGTAATTTGAGCGAACTTGCTGTCACTTAATCCTCAGCAGTGAACATCAGACATCTGATGTGTCCATTCAAATGAAGGAAGGTGATAATAATAATAATTGATAAGACTTGTAACAATTTTATGGGAGTTTACAATACACAGACAGAACAATCAAAGCTAATTACCCAGACCTCGTGATCAGAGACCAAAAAAAAAAAAATCAACAAGAAAAAAACAAGAAAAAAAACGAAAAAAACAAAATGTGCCTTTCTATTGACATGACACTTCCTGCAGACTGTGGAAGATCAAAAACTATCAAAACACAAGAACCTTGAAATCGAAATTCCAAAAATATAACACATGAAGACATCAACAATTCCAGTTGTGGTTGGAGACTCCGGATTGATTAGAAAAGGTTCCGATAGACTCATAGAAGTGATTCCTAGGTAGCCTTAAAGTAATACAATATAATATACTCACATGTATAGCACACACTTGACGAAAAGTTTTATCTATTTAAAATGTTTGTGATCTTAGGTTTTTTTTTCTCAAAAAATGCTCATTGGAAAAGGTCATGATGTCATTTCTGACCTTAAGTCTCTGGATGGGACCCGGAAATAAATGAGTACACACCAGAAATCAAAGGAAATAAAAATAAAAATAATAATAATTATCAATACTCGTGAAACTTACGGGATCTTCCTATTTGGATTTTCTGATGAATCTTAATTCTTAAGTTAATGATTGAATAAGCTGACTGCAAGTTCCACGACTACTAAATTACCCTTGGAAATTCCCCTGTTGCAACGTTAAATATTTGAGCTTAACAACTTAAACAAAATATTGCAATAACAAACATAAAAATGAATGCAGGTCATTATTTAACAGGATTCAAATGAAAAGATGCAAAATCGACAAGGTTTTCCATTTCACTGAAGCAGACGTTAAACATGCAAAAGTATTATCAAACAGTGCTTTGATATATCTTTATTTCAATTATAGGTCTATCCTTGCAATGAAACAGGCACAATGCATTGTTTATCCGGAGTAAGGCCAAGGCGTAACGTACGTGCTAACGAACGGGGTAACAAATAGAATTATAATGATAGTCGATACTATCATCACGATAGCATTACTGAAAACAACTATAATACTAAGTATTCTTGAGCACTAAAGAGACTTGGTGTCAATATCCAGTGTAATCACCTCTATATTCCTTTTCTTTCTTTCTTTCTTTCTTTCTTTCTTTCTTTCTTTTCCATTGTATAAATGGTCTATCCTCACAATCAAACAGGAACAGCCCATTGTTCATCTGCCAAGGCGTAACTCACGTGACAGGGAATAATGGAAGAAACATAATTATATTGATAATCGGTACCATGAAGACGATAGCATTACTGAAAACCGCTACAATACTAAGAATTCTTGAGTATTGAGAAGACTTGGTGTCACTTAACCTCTAGCCGAATCCATTGTTAACTAATGGGTTGAGCTCTCAATGAAGACAAATAATAATAGTAATAATAATAGTGGGCCACAAAGGATAGAAAAACGAACAGGATGATATATTTTTAATTTAAATTTTATTTTTTAAGTCAACTCAATACGCCGGAAAAGGAAACGAATTTCAAATATTGTCAACAATCTACGCGAGACGAGAGATCAGGTTTTACTCTTAAGAGCTGGGGATTTATTGCGGAGAAGGCGACGATTCTGTTCCCGTCACTCAACGTGAAATGAAACAAACACGCAAGCAAACAAACGAAAGCCATTTCTTCACGTAACCATGACAACGAAGTGAACAAACTCTACGACACCCCCACCCACTATTTAAACATCCGGCCACCACAAACTGATCAGTCACTGGTTCATCTGTGATGAACGACACTGATTCTTAGCCTACACCGGCAGGATTGTTTGATCATTTTTCTTTTTACTTGACTAGATTCTGATTTGCATTTTCCATTTTGCAATTTCCCCCTAGTCACGAGGATTGCTAGTCCAGGGAGTTTGTTTTAATTTCTCAGTTGATTCTTTAGAAACTAAAGCAGTATATTCGCACTGCTAACACTGCTGCTTAATATACTGTAACACACACACACACACACACACACACACACACACACACATATATATATATATATGAAAGACTGGATTCTATAGCCTTGGATGGCAACTAGGAGAAGGACAACTCTGAATTCAAAACCTGCAGAGGGTCATTTGGGGACACGGTGCATCCGGTTTATGTATTTCTGTATTTCAAAAAGTGGATGGTTCTGCACAAAACCTTCACCACCATAATCAAATCATATGTTCAGGTTGTCTGACTGTCGATTGCTGTTTTTTGCTTTTCTGTCAACTAGAATCTTCAAAAACAAATGCAATATCAATCGTCATCTTCTGTCTTCTTGAATGCTGTTTATTTTATTGTTATTTCTCCTGAATAATATTTTCTCTGTTTTTTTTTTTCAATCTCATTAACACATTACGTCTTTGCCTTGCTTGGTGTGAAATGATTAAATGATTTCTTTTACTCTCGGTAACCTTTTGCGTTTTATTCAAATTTGATCGTCAATAATTTTTTTTCTTTTGTTTTCATATTCTTTCACACCCGGTGATTCCTATTGTGTCTTAGTGGCTTTAATCCCTTGCTTAGTGTGAAATGATTAAGAAAGATCAATTATTAAATTCTTTTCAACCATTTTTCAAACGAAATTCTTAATGCACTTTCTACATTATTCTGCATGACTACTGTTTACCGGGCACACAGATCTTAGGGTAGACAACGACTTGAATAAAACAGTTGACTAAATGGAATAAGCCTAATCAATTAAAGTGATGCAATCTCGTTAGAATATTTTGACAAGTACACTTCAAGCTTAACTGAACAATCGGATCTCCATAATAAAACTGTTGTTACTACTTTAGTGTTAATAGCAATTAGTTTGAATATAATTACTTATTTAAGGTGGATTTAGTACAATAATAGTCGAGGTTATATTATTTAATTTAGAGAAAACTTACCTTGCTTTGTATCCATTCTAAGAGAATGGGAGTTCTGAATTGAGAAACCAGTTGGACATGAGACGGGTAAAAAATAAAAAAATCTTATTTGCTATGGAATTAGAAATTATATTTTTGGTACAGTTGGAATTTAGGCTTGACTAGGCCCTGTAGGTAAAAAAAAAAAACGGTTTGAATAAGACAGCCAACTAAATGGAATAAGTTTGCCCAAAATAGTGATGCAATGACGTCACAATATTTTGACAAGTACACCTCAAGCCTCGTTGAGCAATAGGATCACCATAATTAAACTACTGTTACTACTTTATCTACTGTTAATTGTAATTAGTTTGAATATTAATTACTTATTGAAGGCGGATCAAGCACATTTATTAGATGAGGTTATTTTATTTAAATTATTAGATATTATTCTTCGATTTCCTTTAAATTCATTCATCACTACCGTAATTATCAGCATTGTACGTGTGTGTTATCAATTCCATTTAGTCAACCGTTTCATTCAACTCTTTGTCTTCTTCCGGCACCGTGAGCCAGGTAAACGATAGTCAAGTGCATTATATCTCTATTACCGATAGCAGAGAACAGGCATAATAAGGTTACTGATTAGCCACACACAAACACCCGCACACATTCGCGCAAACACACAATCATGCACACACAGTACATGTAAACACATATTTAAAAACAAGTGTTATTCTGAATATTAATAATTATAATCTTAAGAAATTAAACTTAAGCATCGAGGGCTAGGCTTAGTGCTCCTTGGGGAAAACTTGTTACATTCAATGCCTCTAAAACCGAACAGACTCACACTTTTCTGTAGATATTAAGAAGGGTTCTACTCTTAATGAGGCTCCTTCCCTTAAATGTCTATCACCCCAGATCTCAAATGGAGCTCATATAAGATGCGTCACTGCAGAATCTTGGCAGTTGTTCATCACTCTGAGGTAGGTCAAAGAATGTAGTTGTTATTCTGAAACCGTTGAGACCAATGTCGGCATTCACCAAGTCTCTCTCTCTCTCTCTTTTTCTCTCCTTGGTACTTACCACTTTCTGCTTTATATTAACGATCAGAATAAAAGCATTCTTAGATCATTAGTAAAAAAACGAAAAGGATGTTGACCACTTCAACAAAAACAACTCCAGAGTGACAAACAATATGGATTTCGCTCCTCTAAGTCCAACACTGATATTTTATCAGTCATTACACAGAATCAGTTAGCGATTGAGAGTAACTTCATTACAAGAGCAATTGACTTTGACAAGAGAGTTGCTGAACCTCTGTGGTCGGTTCAAGAAAGTCGTTGTTAAGGACCGGTAATCTGAAGCTGCTAAGTTCAATGTAGGCATCCCCAGGGTTCTCTCTCTTCTTTAGTCTTAAATTCTTTATATTGAGAATGAGAATAGAATCATTTTCAAACCATGAGGCGATGATACCAGAGTTTATGGGTGCAACAGGCTCAAAACCGACAGTTGATCTCTCCTCTGATCTACTTCTAACAACTTAATGGGGGGATCGTCTTATAACTTTCAATAATTCAACAACCACGCTTATAACGTTTCATCATCAGCGAGAAGGCTCTGAATTTCCACCAGACATGATGAACACTACTTACACTTTGAATGAGACTCTATTCTTTGAACATCTATCGGGGCTCAATTTCACGCCAGGCCTCAAATAAATAAATAAATAAATAAAAATTGTCGGCTCCGTGTACCGCTCGAGAAAGCACCTAACTCATTTTGTCGTGATTTATCTTTAGAAGGGTCAAGTTAGTGAAAAAATAGACGACTGCTGCCATATCTCGGTTGGAGCTGAACAATATTCACTTTCCGTTTACGCAATGTTGTAGGGGATGACTTGTTTTCCCTTCTCTTTTCCACAGATACAATATCGCAAATTCTCGTTACTCTATCGCTATTCCCATAACAAATATTCTGACGTGCTACATATATATGATGCATCGTTGAAGATGCCGGAAATATGGCTGGTTCCTTTAAACATTCCAGAAACTATTTTTACAAGAGTCAGATCAGATCGAAAATAATGCATTGCGGCCACATCTGGTTTGGAGCAGCCTAATCTTCTCTTTCCTGCCCTGATGAAGCTCAAAACCTTTTATCCGGCCTTGTGGGTGATGGATTATTTTTCACACTACAACTCCGTTTTGCTAGCCTTTCACTGTTCTATCTTTATTTTCAAAGCAAATGTACAAACAAGTTACATTCCTTAGTTCCACCAGTTCAGACCTTTCCAGCTAAAGACCACGTACATAGAAACGACTCATCTTAATTGCCTTTACATTCCATTAATAAGAAGGAAGTTCACCTCGGACAGCATTTTCCCAAGAGCTGTTACTGTGTGGAATAGAGTCACGAGAGGCTGTTTCCCCGATCACTACTATCTTAAGATCATCTAATATAGGGACAAACGTTATCCAACCTGCATATCCTCGTAATATACACACCTTACTTCCTTCATTTACGCATTTACTAAAACTCATTCAGTAACACTCTACCTTGAGTGGCTCTTAGGCCTTGTATTGAGAAAACAAGACTATTATAAGAATATAAAAGAAAACTTAACAGTAGCAACAAAAATTAGAACGTAAAAAGATAGTAACAGACTAGGAGAGATATAGACAGACATGAATAGACAGACTGACATATAGACATAAATGAAAAGATTGTGAGTGACAAAGCTAGATAGTCGACTATAAACATTGATGGATTTCTATAAACAGACAGCAATAAACATAAATATGAACAAAGTGAGATAGATAGATATAAACAGAGATAGATAGATATCATATCGATATGTAGATAGACATGAATAGAAAGACAGACTGACAGACATATAGATAGATATATATGAATAGATTAGATTGACACACACACCCATATATATATATATATATATATATATATATATATATATATATATATATATATATATATATATATATGTGTGTGTGTGTGTGTGTGTGTGTGTGAAAATATATAGAAAATATGAAGGAACTGGTTAGGTAAATAATCCAAAGTCCCTTAGTATTTTAGTTATTATTTTAAAAAATTATTTAAAAAAATAAATTTAAATATATATATATATATATATATATATATATATATATATATATATATATATATATATATATATATATATGTTCAAATATAAAAATACGAAAGGAATATAAATTTAAACGTTCATAACATTAATTTAAAAAGGGCTCAATACAAGAGTAGACGACCATCGTTTACCACCTGAGGAGATGTCTTTAGACGTCGAAACAAATATGCATTTTGTCGTAGGTAACTTGCATGTTCCAATGTAACAATTTATATATATATATATATATATATATATATATATATATATATATATATATATATATACAGATCTATCGACAGGGAGATAGATAGATAGATAGATAGATAGATAGATAGATAGATAGATAGATAGAAATGAATATTGATGGTATGAACAGATGCAGGTTATGAGTTGATTCAGACAAATATGGATATTAAAAATGCATAAATAGAAAGATAGAGAAACTGAAAATAATAGAGACAGTAAAAAATGGCCATAAGGGTCAGAACTACGTCTTCGCTGACCGGATTTTTGAAATTTCTCATCAAATGTTAAGTAAATCAATGACAAATAAAATAAATAAATTGATGAAAATCCAAATTAAATAAAAAAAAAACTCAATCTGCTTAGAATGAACAAAAATTAGACCGTAAAATTTAATGACAATTTTACAGCTAAATATTGAGAGAGTAACTTCAAGCTAATTATGCGACTATAGTTTCACTTTCCAAGCTAATACTTACAAAATATTATTCTTCGGTGAATTTCTTCTATTTTTATGTGCCATATTCCTTTAGGGCGTCAGTGAACATGGTCCTTCATGACTTCCTCTTTTGTTGAAATCAGCCATTTCTGCCCGTTTACAATTCTCCTTTCCTTTTTTTGTCATCCATTCACTCAACATTTTTAAGTAAAAGATTTATTTCTCTTTTCTTGTAATTCTTTGACTTCAAAATGTCTTACGAGTATTGGTCATTTACAGATCTTATCTAAGTCTGGTACAAGGTTACAGGTAGAGAGCACCTAGGAGCGATCGAATTTGTTGCAGTCGTAGCGCTCTTCGACAGAAATTTGTTAACGATTGTTTACCCGTCGTACAACAATCTGTTTACTTAGAGGGGTTTGTATCTGGCATAAGGTCACAAGTTTTGAGTACTTAGTGAGATAAGTACACTTTGACTGAGAGTAGTGTTCCGTTAGACGAGCATGCTACACATTTCTCAATGGCGAATTGCTTAATTCGTTTTGCAAATGATTCAAGTCGCAAAGTTGGTCGAGAAAGAAACTAATTGAATTGCAATTGAACTATTTCGTTGAGTGCGAGAGATTTCAAGGAAGCTCCACGCAAGTGTCAATTCCATCTGAAGAATTGGCGAATTTCCACTAATGCATCAGTTCATCGATCTGTATGTAAGTGAGGAGGACAGATGGCTGGGATGAGTGGGAGAAAATGTGACAGGGTGAAAAAGAGTATGTTAGAACGGGAGATCATGAATCAGAGAGAGTGAATCTGAAAATGTCAGACAGACAGACGCACAGATAGATAGATAGATAGATAGATAGATAGATAGATAGATAGATATGAATAAATAGATAAGTAAACAGATAGGAATAGGTAGGTAGATAGATAAGAATAGACAGACAGGTTGATAGATTTGAATAGGTAGATACATACGTAAATAGATATGAATATATAGATAGCAAGATAGATATAAAAAGATAGATAAATCTAAACAGACTGATAGATAAATCTGAATAGACAGATAGATAGATAGATAGATAGGTAGACATATGAATAGATACGGACATAGATACGAATAGATAGATAGGTAGATAAACGGAACGCTGATCTTATATAAAAATTTCAGTTATCTGTTTGGATTAGTTGTGCTCTTATGTCCATCGTCTTTTTCATGTTGAATTTTTATATGTTCTAATGTTAATTATGTTTTATGAATATGTCCTGATGATGGTCTAAAATAGACCGAAACGTCCGACGTTGACTTTATATTAACATTAATACAGCATAATTGCATATTAAGATTTTTGTTTTTTTTCTGTATATTTTTCTTCATAGGTAGATAAATACGAATAGACAGATAAATCTAAATAGATAAGTAGACAGATATGAATAGCTAGATAAACATGAATAAAAATATAGATAGATAAACATGAATAGATATGTAAATAGATAGATATTAATAGAACGAAATAAACTGATATTAATAGAATGAGACAGATATATATATTTATAGAATGAGATATATTTTAATAGACTGATAGATATTAATAGAATAAGATAGATATTTATAGAATGTGATAGGTATTAATATAAGACATGTTAATTTATAGATAGATAAAAAGAAAACTATCGCAACTACATTTGAAAAGAGATTATTTAAGTTTCACATAAATTTGCCATAACTACTTCTAAAACAACGAAAGACTTAATTAATACAAAATACAGAATAATAAGATAATATGTGAAGGATGGATTTACTTTATCAGTTGTAATAATTACCACAATTAATACATAAGAGGACCCTCAAGAAATTTAAATAAAATATTATATGAACATAAAAGGGATCGTTTACGAAATAACACACTAAATTGATTAGTAACGAGACTGACCATAATTTTGATTTAAAAAATGCTACTCTAATTAAAGAAAAACAAACTATTTAGGATGAAAATGTATAGAAAATGTTTTAATTACTAGATCATTCACAGTAAATTTCTGCCTAGATTCTTACAAACCTCACATTTCTTGGCACATCTTCCAATTATACCAATATGGGATATTTAATAACAAAACTGATAAAAAGAATATAAACGAAAAGAAAAGATTTTATACACTCAGCTTAGGCGATCATGTATCTTTTGATACATGACTGACAAGGAAGATTTTTCCCTGCCATTTCTTTCTGCGCTAGTAAGCAGTCTGTCCTGCTACTTACCCATACATAGGGGGGTAAGAAAATGATTCATACTTTTCCCAAGGGTATTAGCACGTAAGTCAATCTAAAGGATTCAACAGGAATTCGAACTCAGCTATCCGATTCTTCAATCCGAGTGGCTCCTACGGAAAATGCATATTAAAAAGAATTAAATTTCTCATAGTCCCGTCTCACTAATGCGCATGTGGAATCACATCAGCGTAAATATTACTTTAGTCCGATGATGTTCTAAAAGACGAAACACGTCGCTCGAAAAACTGTTTTCATTTTGTCACGGATTTTCTTAAAATAGATAGAAACATAATAACAGACTGAGATAGCTAGCTAGCTAGACAGAGAGATATGAATAAACATACATAAGTAGAGAGGAATAGACTTTTTTTAAGCATTTCGCCCCAAGCAAGGCGGGAGTGCAACTAGTACGCAAAGGGGCTAAAGAGAGTGAAAGTAAGAGAAAAGACTGGGTATGGGGATGGCGGGGTTGAGAACAAGATAAAAAGAGGAACAGAGGAGGATAAAATGAAGAACGGGGATCAGGACAACAAAAGATGTCGATTGACATTATATTTAAATTTTTGAAGATTATAATTATCAGGGAAGTAATTAAGAGGAAGGGAGTTCCACTGTCGGGAAGTGCGAGAGAAGAAGTTGGAGCAGGAGTTGCAGTTACATTTAATTGTTTCAAGAGTAAAAGGGTTGGACTGAGATGCCAATATAGTAACACTCTTAAATTCGTGCAGTCGGGGCACCAGTGAAAATGCTAGTCAGAAAAATATGAAAATATTTATAGAAAAAACAGCGTGGAGCCACATTACAAGTCAGGGCTGATCACAATGTATATGAAGAGACTGATATATATATATATATATATATATATATATATATATATATATATATATATATATATGAAGTAATTCATCGAGTCTAGAAGAAACCTCAACAGAATGCAGAAAGCACTGGACGGCCGTTTCGTCCTATACTGTGCCTCCGAGAGCCACGACTGCTTGGTGATGGTAGTCGTGGCTCTCGGAGGCAGAGTCCTATGGGTAAGGGAACTTGGATGGGTTCCACCACGGAATATGTGAACGAGCGGCGCAATATCGAGTTTAGTTTGCTACCTCTTCGTCACTGAGGCCCCTTAATACAGTTGGTATGACGTTTGCCTGTCAATGTAACTACCCGGGTTTCAATTCTCGGTAGTGGATGCGCACTGCTGATGAGTCCCAAATATAGGACGTAACGGCCGCCCAGTGCTTTCTGCATTTTGTTCAGTTTTCTTCTAGACTCGATAAATTATTTAATTATCTCAAATCCTCCTTAATTTCTTATATATATATATATGTATGTATATTAAGAGAAAGAACAGTAATATTTATAATCCGGTGTTCTTATTAATTATTTTTATTTGTAAAAATACAATTCTGCAAAGCATAAATATTATAAATTTACTAGTTTAAAATATGTTTCCATCGCTACACTGGAATTACCATGTTTCAAACACAGAAACTAAAAACTTCAAATTTAATTATAGAATTAAATTAAAAACCCTAGTACTGCTTAATTTTCAAGCGAATTTTAGAATTTTATTGAAAATTCACTTGAAGTGAAGGTATTTAAAATAATAGCGGTGTCAAGGAAATAACCGTCAATTAAGGCTGATCGCAGTCGGAATCACAGAATCATTGTAAATTCTGCTATCCTTTGATTAGATGCATAGTATGTGCTTCGCCAGGGCTACATTCTGTTTTTAAACTCAGACGTGCCCGTCTCCTAGACAGCTTCCCAACCAAGGTTTAAAAGTTAAGTTTGCTCTACTATTTAATCCATAGTGAGGGATTCAAGAAGCGATAGATTCATACCTTTCCTAAGAGTATTTGCGCATAAGTGAATGTATTGAACTCGACTGGAATTCGAACATGGGTTTCAATGCGCCACAGGTAAATGCCGTTATATAATTCCATCAACAATACCATTATTTTAGTCGGATGAACTTTTAAAAGACGAAATGTGTTGCATGTATATGTATATATGAATATGAACATATGTCATCATACTAAAACCCATGTAAATTTTGTTATTTGTTATCTTTGACACATACACATACACACGCACGATCCTCACTGGTGCATCATACTTTCAACCTTGTGCCACACCTAAGCTACACTTCTTTTTTTCTTTTTGGACGTAGACGATCATGGCTCTCCACTTCCCCATATCCTTTGTAGCTCTTAATAAGTTTCTTCCCTCTGACATCTCCCCAAGAATACGTTCTATCAATCATTTGCTTAAATTTCATCTAACTCTTCCTGATGTTAAGTATAAGCTTCCTCCTTGTTTGCATCCTCTCCAAAACCTCATCGTTTCTCACATGCTCGGTCCATGATATCCTTAGCATACGTCTGTAGAACCATATCTGCGTTGCTTCAAGTCTCTTCTTCATCATTGAGGAGACCGTCCAACATTCGCTGCCGTAAAGGAGGGCAGACGTCACATAGCAGTTTAGTACTCTTTTCTTTGTCACCAAAGAAATCCTCCTGACTCGCAATTGTCAGCTATTCCAGCTTTTGAAATCACTTCTCAGATATTCCGCACTTAATTTTAGTGTTCTCGACCTGCAAATCGCATTTCGGGTTCATCTTTTTACTGATGACTATCCATTCATTCTTCTTGTAGTTTATGCTTAGTCCCTTTCTTTCGCTCCCCTTCGGTACCTTTTGTAGGAGGTTTTGTAGTTTCTTTTCCGTGTAGAAAATCAAAATATGGGATTTCCCTATATTCTAGAATTAGCTCAAGCCCTAGGGTGCATCCTGTCAGGTTTCACCTCTTCCTAGGGAGGGGCCGAGTTTATTGTTCGGCGCCGAGAAACTCACCTTAAACCCACCTTGTGTCAAATCTGGTTGCGTGTTGAACACACCGGTAAATATATATATATATATATATATATATATATATATATATATATATATATATATATATACCATCCATAAAACCTACTGTGTTCCTTTTTAAAAGCAGTTCAAGATACAAAATGATCACAGAATAGCAATGTTATCTATTTTATAATTATTTACACATATTTTAATTTGTATCGACAATACAACTTATTGTAATAATTATTATTATTCACATTATACAATCAAATGTAATAAGAAATAAATAAATGGAAACGGTTCACAATTTGCGAGAAAATTAGTCGCTTTACATTTAGCTGGAATTTCGATGATAGATGTTAAATTATCAAACAATTGTTTGAGAACTAAAAATGCCGAAATCATAAACGAAGTCCCCAGACACTTTCCAATTTACTAATTTCCAATATAGAACCCGGTTGAGATCAGCTTTCGATAAGGAAGGAAAAAAACAATCTCGCCATATTTAAGGCCAATACTATGTGCTATGTGGGACTAAAATTGACGAGCCATCGATTTGAGGATGAAAATTTAGCAGATTTGTTTCTACTATTTATTTTGTACTTTTATCTTTTTGCTCTGCTTTGTATTTTTATTACCAGCTTAACTGTAGTTGCATCCAAACAAATACAATATATATAATATATATATATGCATATATATACATACATACATATATATATATATATATATATATATATATATATATATATATATATATATATATATATATATATATATATATATACAAATGTGGACATTGAGATAAACACCCAGCGGCGACAGTCTATTTCATGCTTAAACGCGGTGACCCTGTTTCATGCTAAAAAACAAATCGTTAAAACTGACGATTACCATTAAGCATGAAACAGAATCAATGTTCACTTTTATAATTGCATACGCTCTATGCCTGTTATCGAGCACTTTAACTCATAAATATAGCATGCCTTAAATCTATATTTTATTATATATATATATATATATATATATATATATATATATATACTACATTTCAAATGTTTGCCCCAAAAGTAGTTATTTTTTTACTTAAAATAAGAGAAAATTATCATACATGGTTAAAGAAGTGAGATATGATTTTTTTATTAGAAATTTTATTATGACGAAAAAAAAAATGCATTGTATGATTCAATTTTGCTCTCGTCAAAAAATCCACTTCTAGCTTTGATTCCTGCAGGACAAATTTTTGAGATTCCTTGCAAATATTTCTCAAACTATAACTTTGATAATTGATTCCATTCTTTTGTCACTGAATGCAAGAGATTTTTCATTTTTCGGGGTGGCTTCAAACTGTAGTTTGTAGAAAACATATTTTCAGCTTCTATAAATAAATATAACTAAACATCGGATATGAGAAAAGAAGTTTTGTTAGAGCTGAGGATTTTTTAATACGCGAGCAAATACACATACACTCACAGAGACGCACACACAATTACTCCTTTCCCCTCTCTTTCTCACATACACATACATACATTTTTTTTTACTCTAGTTCACACCGTGCAAGGCCATGAATTCACAAAGACACAAAGGGTTACACGATATGGTAGAATTAGAAACAGAAACATTATTAATGAGCGAGAAGAAAAAGAGGAATCAGGAAGACAGTAGATGGCGATTGACATTGCATTTAAATTTTTGAAAATTAAAGTTGGCTGGAAAGCATTGAGACGGAAGAGAGTTCTACAAGCGAGGGGTGCGAGAAAAGAAGACGTTTGCATAGAATTTGCGCTTACATCTCGTCAGGACAATACTAAATTGATGAGATCTCGCTGTCAGTCAATACTGCACTTAAATTCAAAGAGTCTGTGTACCACAGCGAACAATTACTATCAAAAATTATATATATATATATATATAAAAAGAAAAAGTCCACATTGGATGAAACGCGTCGGTTAAGACTAAACAGTTTTCCTATTGTTTTTTTCTTTATACATATTGTCATTTTCTACAGGTTAATTCTGAGAATTATATATATATATATATATATATATATATATATATATATATATATAAGTAGATAAATAGATCGATAAATAGATCGATCGATTGGTAGATGTAGGCGTTTGTGTGTGTGTGTGTGTGTGTGTGTGTGTGTGTGTGTGTGTGTGTGTGTTGTGTTTGTGTGTGTAGTTTGTCGGTTTTACGACAGCATATTGTAGAAAAGGATTTTTGGAGAAATAGTAAAAAAATTATAATGCTTTACAAGAGTCAGGAAGATGTGGAGAGCCATGATCGTCTACGTCCTGAAGGAACACGGTACGTTAAGAAGATGATATTTTACTTAATCAGACCGATGTAATTGTTACCATCATTTGGAGACTTCTAGACTGACAGTGAGATAGAAGTAAACAGTGCAATAAACCTCGCATCAACACTTTCAAGAGCACAAAGATCAGAGGTGACAAAGTTGGTGAGACGCCATTTCTCGCCAGTAAAACTGACTCAGGTATCAGGTGAACCAAATATCTGACCAGGAAAGTTGGCTTTCGGTATTTTGTTTCAAGAAAAACTTCTGCAATTGAAAATTAAGACTTTCTCTTTCACAGTGTGTCATCAAAAATGAAAAGAATAGTTTCACAAATGATGGCCGGGGGTGGATTAAAAATAAGAACTAAGATAACGATGATAATAAACAGAAGCGTCGAAAAAGACATAAAAAGTGGAGGAGACTCTTTGGTATGACCCAATGTATCGGTGTTCGATTTTTGCTAAAAGTTGAGATTTCAAAAGAAAACCCAAATAGGAATTTTCCTTCACACATTGAAGATTGGCACAACATGGTCTTCCAATTTCTTTCATATTAGTCCATGTGTCAGATTACATTACACATAGCAAATATTATGGACAGGGAAACCTTGGAATCATTTTCGTGGTTAAAATAACTGATTCCAGTAGGGTTCGGTTATTATTTTATGTAACGCCATTATCATTATGGATGAGATTTATTTATTTAATATTGTGGACGAATAGGAGATTTTTTTTAACGGGAGATAGGAACGAGAATCCAACAAAATATTGTACAATTAACATTTTATTGCTTTAGTAAGCTAAACAGTAAGAATATAAAAAGGTATAAAAGATAGTGCTAATATAGAAATGATTTCATTTAATCGGGGTCAGTTTAATTGCTATTGAAGAAGCTGACAAACAAAGCTGGACTGAGATCTTCATAGGCTGATTTTGAAGGTCTGATGCCAGATCTGCGAAATCTTTCGTGCAGTAATTTCAACTCTTATTAATAACTGCATTGTTTCTTTCCAGGTATTAGGGTGAGCTGAAAAGTTCATAGGCTGACTATAAAGGAGTGATGCTCGAGCTGTCAAATCTTGCATACTTTAATTTCAACTATTCTTATTAATATCTGCACTATTTCTTTCCAGGTAATGTGACTTCTGACTGTTCACATAAGACTTCAAAAGTAACTAGTAGCAATTTCTCTTGAAAATGGACAACATTTGAAATCATGGTATTATCAAATATCTGCAGGAAAAAGGGCTTACCCCCAAGGACATTCATGCTGAAATGGTTGCTATATTAAGTATCAACGCTCCAGGTTTATCAACAGTGAAAAAGTGGGCAGCTGAATGTAGGAGGGGAAAGAAGAGTTGGGTAAATGACTCAAGGTCTGGAAGTCCTGCAACTGCAACTGCCACCACCGAGGAAAACATTGTGTTCAGATGGTGATGGATACATCAGAGCCAATATAATTATCATATCCTGTAAGAGAGAGTTGAAAATATTCTGCACAATGAACTTTGCATGACGAGCGCTTCTGCTTCTTGGGTTCCACATCTTCTGACACCTGTTGAAAGCTCACCAGCTTGATCACATCACAGGAAAATCTGACATTGTTTGAAGCAGATCCAACTGACATTTTCTTACTCATTTTGAGCCAGAGACAAAGAGACAATCCATGCAGTAGAAATACCCCTCCTCACCTGCTTCAAAGAAGGAAAAGATCATTTCATCTTCAGGGAAGGTGATGGCCATCGTTTTGGGGATGAAAAAAGTATTGTGTTTATTGACAACTATCAAAAGGGCCACACCATCAATGGAGAGTTCTATGCCAACTTGCTGGGCCAGTTACGAAACTCTATAAAAAACTGAACATCTAGGAAAACTGATGAAAGAGGTAATCAGGACGATGCTGGTTTCAATGGCTGCCGTGCGTGACTACAGATTTGAACTGGTTGATCACCCTCACTATTCTCCCAAATTTGACTATCATCTGTTCCTCAACATGAAAAGAATCTCTAGGCTGGGAACCAGTATCGTAGAAATGATGACGCCTTATTTGCTGTTGATGATGTTTTTAAACAACAGCATGAACAGTCTTTGAACAGTCAGGCATCAGTTTACGTAGAAACAAACAATGCAGTTATTAATGAGAAGAGTTGAAATTAATGCATGCAAAATTTCACAAGTCATTTCTTCATCGTCAGCCTATGAAGCTTTCAGTCCACTCTCGTATTCCCATTGGAGAAGAGATCCTTTAATCTTATGTATTGTAAAGTTATCCACATATTTCTTTAAATTCTTTATTTTTTTTGTTTTAATTTCTGTCTTGTACTATTTAACTACACATTAATTTAGTGATAATTGCCGATTACATTATAGTTAATGAAAGTTTTGTTGCGTGGTAAACTTGCACGGGAATCGATGATGCTAAGCACTTTTACATGCAAATTCGACACCTCCCCAAATTAATAAACAAAACAAAAACAAAACATAAACGCCCCAAAGGAATTGAGAAATCTCGCTCCACTCCCATACTAGTAGAATAGATGCTTGCTTCGGTCAAAATAAAGCGAAATTCCGACACTTAGCGCAAAGAATGGGTATTCTGACTTATCAGTGAGTTATATGCCATGCATGATACACACTGAGGCGATCATGTATCTTTCGATACATCACTGACAGGGCAGATTTTTTTTTACCGCAATAGTTTGCCATTTCTTTCTGCGGTAGACCAGTTGCCATCCGGTCTATCCTGCTATTTACCCATAGCTGGAGGGAGAAGAAGAGGATTTTAGCACGTAAATGAATGTAATGGAGTAGACTAGAATTCGAACTCGGCTCTCCGATTCATCAGTCCGAGCAGCTATTAAGTTAAAAGTTAATAAGTTATTTCACTCTCTGTCACCACCCTTTTGCCACCCTCCTGGCTTTCTATCCCTCCTTATCCTTAATCATTTTCCTCGTTAACTGATGTAAATGAGACGACGAACAAAGGTGATAGCACCTGTTAGGGTCCCAGCTATGGGCAAATAGTGATCTCCCCAAACTGGGGACAAAACATGAAACCATAAAAAATACATTAAAAAATTATCAGCAACACCTTTTCATAGTAAAAATAAAAAGTTGCCATCAAAAATTATTGGAAAAAAATCGAGTAATACATTTTTGAGACAAGAGGAAGGTTAAGGTGACAAAAATAAGTTAAAACTACAAAGAATAGGAGAATCATGATCAAATCCTGAAAGGACATGACACACAAAAGAAGATTGTTTTTAATTTGGAATATTTCATGTGACACAAAGGCAAACGAGGATATGGAAATGTTGGTCGTCACTGACTATCCTACACCAAGTTAATCTGATTCATGACCAATTCATTCATTACAATTTACTCATACACCTCATTCATCACCATTCAATCCAACGTAATCCATAATACCGCATATTCACAGGGATCCTACTAAAACACCCATGCCATGAAAATATATACATTTTCTTTTTTCTTTTTAATATAAAAATATATAAAATTATGCAATAAAATGCGAGGAGGAGGCGATGTACCCAATAACGAAATTAATATATGTTCGTAGGATCCGTCCACCCCACAGAAAAATAAGAGAGCCTGTATTCTGTCGCAAAGCAGTATCAAGCAGCTCACTCGTTAGGAGCCAGGGGCAGTCAAAATAAATGAGGGAGTGGCTGATCCAGTCAAAATAAAAAGAGGGTGGAAAAAAAACTAGGGTGGTTAGGAATCTTGACATGCATCCTAACAAAAGAGAATGCCGAGAGCAGACAGGAAACAATAATTGCTCCCCTTTGATAGGTAATCAAAAACTTAACTAGGGGAGGGTGTCCAACTGGAAACGGACACGTTGTGCCAAAAGACGACTAACCACGACAACACAAACTAAGGGACCCATCTTTCATTGAAATCTGCCAACAACAAACGTTTTCTGTCAGTTCTGATCGTCATCTTGAGCTGATGCCAAAAGAATCCAACCAGATCCTGATGAGAATAACGTTCGTATCGTAAGATTCCTTCCATCCACTTCATTCACACCATAACCCTTGCCACGGCTAGCAGCTTCAGAAACACCATCCGTCTCACCCTAGAACACGGTGCCGACTCATTATGCAATGAGCACAAGATATTCGGGATCAATACGAGCTGTGACTCGCCGATATTATCCCAGAAGAGGCGCACCTGGGGACGAGTGGTAGAAGGCGTGCGCAGCCGTTTCTTCCGAACCAAGGTCGCAACGATGACAGTCGGGCATATCTGCCCAGCCCACTGTGAAGCCCACACCATTGAGAGATAGCGCGTTCCGTGTCAATCGCCAGGTAAGCGAAAAGTCAGGTTATTGAAGTAATTCGCCGCTGGCGCCCAGGACCAGAAAGAGCGCAACTCGATATCCGACAAGCTGAGATGCTCACAGTGTGCGTCCAACGCGATCACCTCCACTAGTTCCGATGTAAATCACAATAAATTATAATTATCACAGGAGACCTGAATGCCAATGTAAGCAATGAGATGGATAAAGATAGCTGGAAAATTCCAACTTGGAATTCGCAACGAACGTAGAGAAAAGTGGCTCCAATGGTGCACGGCGAATGACCAGGTAATAGCCAACACCTGATATCAAGAACGCTCAAGACGATGATGGACATGGAGAATCCAAGAAAGATAAACGAAAAACCAAATTGACTGCATAACCATCAACAAGAGATCTAGGAATGCAGTTGTACACTGCAAAACCTACCCAGGTGCCGACTGAGGAAATGCTCACCTCCCTGTTGTATGCACTCTAAGAATGAAACTACTGAGAATTAAGAAGCCTTACGCAGCACTCAAAACTGCAATACAACAAGAGTTAGAAAAGAAGACATGAGAAACAAAATGGAAACTCGAAGTGGGACACACTAAGAGATGTGACATCAGCAAACGAGATCATCCCAAAGGAAAATGGACGAAGACGAAAAAAAGAAATGGATAACAAATGAGATTCTTGACATGACGCAAATCAGACAGAAAACAATGCCAAGTCACGGAACAGAATATTGAAAAGGAAAACAAGATAAAGAAGATTGGCTCAAAAATATTTGCAGAAGGGGAACGAATGAATATCACAAAT